ATTGATTATCTAGATCTTTCTAGACTACGTATCTAACGTTTCGACATTAATAATTTTGAGACGAGAGTGCTCTAATTTTCTATTTTCAGTTACTAGATCTAGGTCTGAGCATTAAATTATGTTATATAGGTTAGGGTTAAAAACAACAACTTTACTTCGTATAGCGACTTTACAAAACAACGCCTTGTTTCAGCTTTTTTAAAGTTTTAAACGACATTTGTGTGTAGTCCAGTCTAGGTAAAATATATATCTGTGGTCTAGGCGCATGTGTGTAGTGTTAGAGATTTCCATGTCCAGTCTAGGTATAATATATGTCTGAGGTCAGTTCACAGAATATTTGAGGAAGAGCTTCAGATTTGTGTAATATTATTAATGATTAGTCCGCTGATTCACTAACATTACTAGACCCTAGTATCTTGTGAGAAGACAGACATTTCCCAAGATCTAGTTTTATCGATGTCTCTTTCTCTCTCTCTCTAGTACTATAGACGTCTCTCTCTCTCTCTCTCTCGTACTACGGACGTATTTCTTTCTCTCTCTTGTACTACTGACGTCGACGTCTGTCTTTGTCTCTTTAGATGTAGCAAGGTACCAGTGGGTCCTTGCTTAAGAATATGGGCCCCTTCCCCCACACACACAATTTGTGCGTGTGTGTGTGACAAAAACAAATCGAGTAGTTTGTATGTATTGATTCATTTAATTAAAGACATTTATAATACAACTTCATGATTACAGCTGACAGAATGATTTAAAACCATGTTTAGATACTGTTTAGGACAGAAAACATAATGTGCAAGTGGCTGCTTTTGTTGAAACAATGCCTGAAAACCATTGTACTGTCCACTCATATTGGAAAACCATCGCAGTCTTGGCCTCGCAAGTAATGTCAAGAAAGATGGTGATTTGTTATTGCTTGTTATATTTGTTCTGCTTATTCTGCAGACGTCTGGTTCTCACAAATATAAAATACCCAAGAAAGGACTCTCTGGTTTCAACTTCTTTGGGTATTTCATCATCGGAACCCACAAAACAATTTCAGAAAATAATTTTAAAATAGATAATAACGGAGTAGATTGTCTATTATCTCTCTTTGAATTTGAGGGTCAAGGTAAGGAGTTTTTTTTGTGTGTGTGTTTGTTTGTTTTCCTAAGAATTTATATGACTGCTACGAAGCTTGTCAAGCTTGTTGGTGAAGTGAAGTCATTAGTAGGCCTATCACAGACCCTTAAAAAGAAATAACCACTTTGGAAATATAACTATTGAGTCAACGAAGCAGCAGAATGCTTTTCCTCCCTGGGACCAGAGTTCCATCCCTCCTATAAGACACAACATCGAATACGTAACAAAACAAATCCGATCACAACTAAACAGAGTTCAAGAAATTAGTGAACTCTTCTAAAAACCCATTACCCCAAAAAACAATGGGTCAGAGTCTACCCAGATGGATCCTCTCAAAAATCCAACACAAATGGAGGAGCTGGCATATTAATTGAATGGCCCAATGAAGAAAGACTGGAAAAGTCAATTGCAACTCCCAATCTCTAAGACAGCCATAGAGCAGAAAGGCAAGCAAAGGAAATAGCAGCTACTACACTAATAAACTACCCATGTACACCAAACAGCCAAATTGTCTTTCTGACCAATGCTTCAAAGCCTGAAAATCTTAATTATTTCCTATATAGAGCAACTCATGATAACTCTTGTAAACCTTAACATCAACAGCAAGGAATCTGTTCTTCATAGACATACTGGCCAAAGATGGAAGAATGAACAAACAAATGAAAATCCCTCTCTTCCAGAAGAAATGATGAAACTAATAGAGAGTAAAATCAATGAGAATCGGACCAGCTTACAGGGTTTAGCACCTTGGTTTTGTGCCTCCTCACGTAGCTGGTAAGACCTGGGTGAGCCCGGACAGTTCTCTCTTCCTTCTCTCTTCTCCGTTTTTTCTTTCTCTTATTCTCTCTTTCTTGCTCGCTCTCTTCTTTTTTTTTTCTATCTCTCTTTACCTCAGTTCTCTTCTTCTGCTCTCCTTTTTTCTTTTTTTCTCCGACTTCCCCCCCCCCCCCCCACCATTCTCTCTCTTCTTTTTCTATCCCTGTCTTCTTTGTCCCAAATCGTACTTATAACTTCTGTTCTGCGACTGTCTCCCCGCCCCCTCATTTTTTACCTTCTTTCCTTTTTACAACCCCTCTGCCCCCATTGTTTCTTTGTCTTACCAAGCCAGCTCACATTTGCTGACACTCCTGTCAACACAAACACAAACATGTCCGATATTAAACAAACAAACATTAACACATTAAAAAAGAAATGTTTTCACATGACCTTCAAAACGTAACGCTTGTTCTTTTTTTAAAAAAAATGGGAAAAATTTGTCACCCTACCCCCCTCTTCCGTAGGTGCGCTGGCAAAGCCAATTTGCATATTCAAATAATCTAAGATTAAACTTCATATGGGCGTAGCCAGGATTTTTTTTCGGAGGGGTGGCGATTTTTTCTTCCCCCCCCCTCCCCCCGCGAAAAATATATTTATATGTATGTATACGTATGTGTGTACATAATCTTTCTTACATTCTGACCCTTCATTCTTTCGTAAGACGTTTATTGTGCCCTAGAATAGGTTCTTCCTGGAGTCAGTGGAAAAATTGTTGACTCCCCGCCGTTGCCAGCAAGGGGGTCCAAGGGAGCGATAGAAGCTCCCCCCAGCGCGGGACGAAGTCCCGCCCGCCAAGCACTATTCCTGGTATTAAAAGCCAACAAAATACATATTCTAATGTATCTACAGTGCATTTTCCTGCTATAAGAAAGTTTTATTGCAAAAACTTAATGTGCAATTCTTACTGACTTAGATCCTCCCGCGCCTTTCGGCGCATTTGTCGTCAAGCTGTTTCCATAAAAATCTGTCACTGGTAATGTGTGAAGCCTCTTCCCACCTGCTCTGAGGATCTCCGTGAATGTGTGAAGCCATCGCAACTCTTATTATGCGTAATTCATTTTGTCGGAGAACATGTCCCGCAAACCTCATGCGACGCTCTGTCACAATCTTACTTAAGGGTCGACTCCCAGTTCGGCATGGAATTTCCTTGATTTAGACCCGATCTCTATAACTGACTCCTAAAATCTGTCTTAGCCATCTTTGTTGAGCAACATTTAGTGTTATTCAATTTCGGCAGATGACTATTCACTGCAGTTTATTAATGGAGCACCATCACTGGTAGAAATGTGTAACATCTCTTGAATACGCTCTTGGAATTTGGTTACTGTAGTTTGCTTTAGATTTTATATCGAAAAAGTGATATCTTATTGTCAAAATCATCTGTTGGGGGTTTCAAACTAAAAAATCTCTGGAGTTATTGTTTTTAATTTGGTAACTGTAGTTTGCTTTAGAATAATATTGAAGATAGAGGTTATCCACCTCAAAACGCTCTGTAAGGGTTTTTTAAACTCAAAACCATATGGAGGGGTTTTAAACTTTAAAAAAAAGCCATCCATTGGAGAGGGGTTTAAACTCAAAACCCCCAATAGGCTTGGCTACGCTCAAATAATTTTAGTGTGTAATTTTCTTTTTTTTATATTGAAGAGGTATTTTTTAGCATCAAACCCCTCTGAAGGGGGTTTAAACTCAAAAACCCTTTTGGAAACGCTCATAGCATGTTGAGTTTGTAGTTTGCTTTTTTTTTACATTGAAGATGTATTTTTTATCTTCAAAACCCCCTGACGGGGGATTTAAACTCGAAACCCCTTTGGCTACGCTCTTAGATTTTAGAGTGTGTAATTTGCTTTTTTTTTATATTGAAAAGGTATTTTTTAGCTTCAAACTCCGCAGGAAGGGAGTTTAAACTCAAAACCTCTTTGACTACACTCATAAAATTTTGAGTGTATAAAATGCTTTATTTTTAATATTAAAGAGGTATTTTTTACCTTTCAACCCTGCTGAAAGGAGGTTTAAACTCAAAACTGAATAAAAATCCATTTAGCTACGCTCATAACATTTTGAGTGCTTAATTTGCTTTTTTTCATATTGAAAAGTTTTTTTAGTCTCAAACCTTGCTGAAAGGGGGTTTAAATTCAAAACAGTCAAAACCCATTTAGCTACGCTCATAAGATATTGAGTGCGTAATTAGCTTTTTTATATTGAAGAGGGGGTTTATCGGACATTTTGGAGGGGGTTTTAAAATCAAAATCTTCTTAACTGTGCTCTTGGAATTTGAGGATTGTCGTTTGCATTTTTTTTTGTTTTGCTTTATAGAAGAGGGGGATTTAACTGCAAAATCCCCTGGTAGGGGGTTTTCAACTCAAAACCCCCTGGAATGGGTTTTAAACTCAAAACCCCCTGGTAGGGGGTTTTAAACTAAAAAACCATTCGCTGTGTTGGGGCAAGTGATGATTTAGTACTAAAATCTCACAAAAATAAACAAAATCAAAGGAAAAAATCAGTTACTTAATTCCGATCCCCCCCGCAAAGGTGATTTTATTTCAGGGGGGGGGGGTTGAGCCCCAACCCCCCCCCCCCCCTGGCTACGCCCATGAAACTTAATCATGTCTTTCTGTACGTGCCCTGCGTGTGATTTGTTCACTGAGGTATACTTCCTTTACAGCTTGTTGTTGAAGAGCGGCCTCATGGACAGGGGCGGACTGGCTTTATGGACAAACGGGCAAATGCCCGGTGGGCCGGTACTTAATGGGTCGGTCTGGTCGCGAACAAAGAAAAAAAAATCTCAATGCAAACAAATTAAAAAAAAAAAGTGACAGCAGCTAGACTGCTTTGATGTCTTCGAGGCTGTGTTTGGCCTATTCATTTTGCTTGTCGGCATGGACCTTTGATGGCGCTCCAATTTTTGTTTTGCTCCTTCCCTCCCCCGTTTTCTGATGGTTCCATTGTCAATTAACGAAAAAGAGGGATTCTAGATATAGCTAGATTTAGACCAATATCTAGTTTATATCAAACAGGAAATATAAGGAAAGATTTAAAATATATTGTTCATTTACATATGTGTTACCGTAGTGTAGTGGTTATCACATCTGCATAACACGCAGAAGGTCTTGGGTTCGACACCCAATTAAATCTTTAAAATTTTATTTAGTTTATAAATATTTCTTCTTTTTTTTGTGTGAGTCACATGCAGTAAAATAGATGTGCATTTTTAAAAGTATTTTTTAAAGTATTTTTACGAATCTCACTCAGGGCTCCAAAGTATCGTAACACTTTAATAGTTGAATAAATAACAGCCAATACTGTACAATTGGCAACACGTACACTGTACAAATATCTCCCCGATAACACCGTACCGCCGTATCAACTCTTGCACTGGCCTCTCCGTCTCGTTCGGGCTTGCACTGGGTTCAACAGTTCAGGACTGACTTCACACACTAGGCTCGTTGTGTCGGACTCGATCACAGACCAAGATCAAGACGCCAGTCGTCTCAACTGTACTTGATAGTACTCTGCACTGAACTGTCGTAATGCTCCGTACAGAACCACACCGCTGAACTGTGCTGTAGTCGACCGTGTTCTGAACTCTTGTCGTGAACCTCCTTTCGTGAATCGTGCTGTATTGACCCCTTTTTCTCGACCGTCTTGACTGCGACACCTCCGCTCTTATATAGGGTCCCTACTCGAACCGGACAGAACGCCGCTCGACGTTTTGAGGTGGTCAGATGACTACAACTCTCGTGACGCTTCTGAGCTCTGTTCACGACGTCGATCCTTCCCGAACCACCATGTTGACACTCGTCTCGGCCGACCGTCGTAACTCGTCACGGTTGACCTCTCGTCTAGCGCTGGCCTAGGGTGATTTGCGTCGGCTGACTACACTCACACCACTACCCCCATCTGTGCCACCACCAGGTTTACAACAGTATATTTTTTACAGCCTAATATTTTCTATCCTCTACCAATGTATAGATCTTCCCGTCTGTCTCTAGGTAGACCACTTCTGGGGCCGATTTTAAGTTTGTGTCTCCACACAAACTGTCTTTGTAACCTTGTTCTAAATTATTTCTCTTGATAGTTTTCCTTATTTTAACACTTATGTATAAAGAAAATAAGAAGCTATATTTTAAAATGTAATATTAAATATATCAATTTAAAAAAGTAAATAATAAATAAATAAAAGGTTAAATTTACAAAAAGAAAAACAACATTTTGAAACATTCTAAAAAATGTGTAAACATAAAGTTAAGTCAGTAGCATACATAGATATACCACATATATATATCAGTATATTTTTTGTATGCCACGTCATATGTATCAAATGTTATGATTAGATGTATGGTATCACAGATATGCTTTATATACTTGGCAAACTAGATGGTGAGTGAAGACATGACACTTTAGGTTGCATATTTCAACATCAGTAGGCGGTTACGTTGGCATATTTATCATAGTAGGCACTAGACGTTGGCATAATTAACAATAGTAGGCCCTAGACGTTGGCATATTTTGATATCTATAGTAGGCCCTAGACGTTGATATATTTCAATATCAATTGTAGGCCCTAGATGTTGGTATAGATCAATTTCAATAGTAGCCCTTGACGTTGGCATATTTTAATATCAATAGTATGCCCTAGATGTTGATATAGTTCAATTTCAATAGTTGGCCCTAGATGCTGGTATGGTTCAATATCAATAGTAGGCCCTAGATGTTAATATAGTTCATTATCAATAGTAGGCCCTAGATGTTGGTATAGTTCAATTTCAATAGTAGGCCCTAGATGCTGGTAGAGTTCAATATCAATAGTAGGCCCAAGATGTTGATATAGTTCAATTTCAATAGTTGGCCCTAGATGCTGGTATGGTTCAATATCAATAGTAGGCCCTAGATGTTAATATAGTTCAATTTCAATAGTAGGCCCTAGATGCTGGTAGAGTTCAATATCAATAGTAGGCCCTAGATGTTGATATAGTTCAATTTCAATAGTTGGCCCTATATGCTGGTATGGTTCAATATCAATAGTAGGCCCTAGATGTTAATATAGTTCAATATCAATAGTACGCCCTAGATGTTAATATAGTTCATTATCAATAGTAGGCCCTAGATGTTTACGGTTAAACGTCTAACATATGTATAATAAGAAAAAAACAAACTAAAACATAAATATCAATAGTAGGCCCTAGACGTTGGTATATTTTAATATATATTGTAGGCTATACATGTTGGTATAGTTCAATATCAATAGTAGGCCCTAGATGTTGGCATAATTAAATATCAATAATACGCCCTGGATGTTGGTATAGTTCAATTTCAATATTAGGCCCTAGATGTTAATATAGTTCATTATCAATAGTAGGCCGTAGATGTTAATATAGTTCATTATCAATAGTAGGCCCTAGATGTTAATATAGTTCATTATCAATAGTAGGCCCTAGATGTTTACGGTTAAACGTCTAACATATGTATAATAAGAAAAAAACAAACTAAAACATAAATAATGAAATATTCGCTTGACATGTCATTAAACAATGGGACTGACTTCAGGACAAAGTATCTATAATCTTTTTTTTTATAACATTACATTCTTTTATCAATGTAGGAAAATTGAGTCAATTTATCACATCATAATCTCTTATAAATGAAGGAAAATTGACTGACTGTATAGCATCATATTCTCTTATCAATGTAGGCATATGGACTTCATTGCATCACTGTGGTCCTATTGGCTGACTTTATAATGGGATTGTTGGAATAGTGAGACACTTCAATGTATCATATTCTTCTTTAATCAATCCTGTAAAGAAACAAAAACTCTTTCTCTCCTAATCGACGATACCATCGATGATTTGACCCTCATTAAAATTCAATTAATAATTAGTTTTAAAATTTTTTCTCTATGTTCTATAGAAGGAGCATGCATTCCCCTTTAATCCTATATCAAATAAACATTTTCTGATCACAACGAACAAAGCTATTGAAGCTTAATCATAATATGGGAGAGAAATACTAATGAGCAAAATGAAGAATTCCGTCTGAATGTGAAAAAAATAATTACGGAAGGAAAGAGTTAATGCTTCAATTAGTTCCCAAAGTGTCCGGTGATGTTAAAGCTAGAGTGTCAGTAAGAAATGAAACCCCTAACGTTTCTTTGTAGATGTTGACACATTCACTTCTAACTCCTTATGACCCCTGTAGTGTTGTAGTTTTTTTTTATATGAAGTGTCTATTAAGACTTTAGTTTCTCACTGGGTTATAAGAATTTTACAGTTTTGATATTTCCTAATGAAATGAAGACTCTAGAACATTCTTCCATCAGATCAATCCATCCGAAAAAAATTCCACCAGAGTTTATCAATGTCAAGTACGTCATCTATGCAAAACATTTTTTTTCTTGTGTAAAAAGCTTAAAAACAAACAATCTGTGGGGGAAAAAAAAGGTCGAAATAAGAATACATCATAAAACAAACACTATTATAACTCATTTTTATAACCTAATAGACTTTCAAAAATGTTTTTTTTTAAAAATCGAATCAAAAACAGATTTAGCACGTGTAATATTTTTTTAAGAAGGCTCTATAGTCGGCATTAAAGGTTGCAAATATATATATAGACTGAATTGAGAAGCCGAAGTAAAGTCATTAATTGTACGATGGACTAACTTTTTGTTGTTTTTTTTTTTTTGTCTTGAGGGAGGGGGAGATAAGTGAAATTGCTACAACGGGTCCAAAATATGGATGAAATGAGGTCCGTTTATTAAAATCCAAAAGTAAAGAAATTAATTTTGAAAAGGCTAGAAAGGAGCAGGGACTTGAAATGTCATAGTAAGAGATACACCTATATACGGGCTAACTAAAAAAGTATGTTTGGTTGATCGTTAAAATGTGGCCCGTTTATTAAAGTTCAAAGAAAGAACAAAAGAAAAGAATGATGTGTTCCGGCCAATGTTACAAATATTAAAACCTAGGAACAACCCGGCAATAATAAACACTAAAAGGCCTAGGAACAAATCATCGGGCGTAGCCGGTGCGTACTGCTTGTATAACATTGATCCTCAAGAGCCATTACATTGATCATCAAGAGTCATTACATTGATCATCAAGTGTCATTGCATTGATCATTAAGAGTCATTACATTTACATTCTAAACTTTCGCCCACTTCCCATCATAGTTTGAAATTGAAACTTCATGAAACAAATATACATTAATGACGACACACAAATCAATAAAAAAAATTAATCAATTATTTAATTAATTAATCTATTTGTTTTGTATGAAAAGAGGGAGGTAAATCGTGCAGTATTTAAAAATGTGGTAGTAATTATGCATTTCTTTCCCTTACTTTAGCTTTGTTGTTTTTTTAAAGTATTTTTTTAAAGTCAGATTTCGTAAGTTTATGTTTTTATATGATAGGGTTAGGGTTAGGGTTATCAAAATATGTTTAAATATTTTAAAGATAATAAGCTTTTCTGCACTGACCTGCATCACTCAATTTATTATACTATCATGACCATCAAAACAATGTCGCCATGGAGATCAATAAGACCAGCAGAATGCACAGAAATCCTGAAATAACGAAACGATATAATGTAAAAGTGAATTGCTCAATTAATGAGCTCATAGCACACAGGGTGTTTGAGGTAAAGAAATATTTCCTTAAAAGCAGTATTTCACAATTTTTTTTAGTGTGTCGACCCCCACCACTTTCCTAATCGAAGCGTTTTCCTGCATTTTGAGTTTCTGAAAATCATTCGCCTGGCGTCTACACCACACTATTTCTCCTAATGAGAAGAGCGGAGGTTTAATCACAACAAATTTCCAATAAGGATCAACAGAGTAATCTCAGTCATAGTCTTACAGACAAGGCAAATTATAGTCAACAAATTATTAATTGGTATGATCCCCTGGAAAGAATGTCTCATAATTAATAATTAACCAGCTCTTTAGTGAACACTACCGGAAAGTAAAGAGACAGAGAAAGAATAAAAGATTTGATTGAGACAGTCCAACCTCCTATCTTCCTCCAACGCTGCTACCTCACCCTTGTCCACCATTGTCTATTATCAATAGTCAAATAATATCCTGTGGCTAGATCTAGCCTTAAAATCTCTACTGTCTATTGACAGGAGATCAACTATTTATAGAGGAAAACGTGGGTTTTACAGTTACGTAGGGCGCCACTTGTTACGTTTTGTGATGTGAAGAGACTCTTTTAATAATACAACAACACCAAACGTCAACGTCATAGATTATAATTAATTTCATCTTCATGAACACTAAAACCACTCTTTAGTTTCTATTCCTCTATTTTTGGTTCTCCCTTTCCACACACATTTGCACCGTTCCACATTTACACTAACATGCGCACCTAACACCTATATGGATGTTGACTTTAACCTATATAGATTATGACTTTTACCTATATGGATGTTGACTGTCCCGGATTGTGTAGTCGTTTCAAGGGTGGTGTTGGCATTGGAACCCAATGTGCTTGAGGTCACCCCGGACGCTGCAGTTGAGGTTGCTGTAGTCGCTGCTGTAGTGATTGCTGTAGTCGCTGCTGTAGTGGTTGCTGTAGTCGCTTCTGTAGTGGTTGCTTCAGGTGTCAATGCTGTTGTTACATCAGTTGTGCTTGAAGCAGATGCTGCAGCTGTATTGAAATGTAGTAGAGAGAAAATAAGAAAGCTTCAAATTTAAAATAAATTTTTCGTACTGCATATAGTTGAAAAAGTAAAGTACTGCATATTGTTGAAAAAGTTAAGTACTGCATATAGTTGAAAAAGTTAAGTACTGCATATAGTTGAAAAAATTATAACTGCAAATAGTTGAAAAAGTTAAGTATTGCATATAATTTAAATAGTTAAGTACTGCATATAGTTGAAAAAGTTAAGTACTGCATATAGTTGAAAAAGTTTAGTACTGCATATAGTTGAAAAGGTTAAGAACTGCATATTGTTGAAAAAGTTTAGTACTGCATATAGTTGAAAAGGTTAAGAACTGCATATAGTTGAAAAAATTATAACTGCAAATAGTTGAAAAAGTTAAGTATTGCATATAATTTAAATAGTTAAGTACTGCATATAGTTGAAAAAGTTAAGTACTGCATATAGTTGAAAAAGTTTAGTACTGCATATAGTTGAAAAGGTTAAGAACTGCATATTGTTGAAAAAGTTTAGTACTGCATATAGTTGAAAAGGTTAAGAACTGCATATAGTTGAAAACGTTTAGTACTGCATATAGTTGAAAAGGTTAAGAACTGCATATAGTTGAAAACGTTTAGTACTGCATATAGTTGAAAACGTTTAGTACTGCATATAATTGAACAAGTTAAGTACTGCATATAGTTGAAAACGTTTAGTACTGCATATAGTTGAAAAAGTTTAGTACTGCATATGGTTGAAAAAGTTAAGTACTGCATATGGTTGAAAAAGTTAAGTACTGCATATAGTTGAAAAAGTTAAGTTCTACATGTAATTGAAAAAGTTTAGTACTGCATATAGTTCAAAAAGTTTAGTACTGCATATAGTTGAAAAATTTAGATAGAGCATATAGTTAAAAAAGTTAAGTACTGCATATAATTGAAAAGGTTAAGTACAGCATATTGTTGTAAAAGTTTAGTACTGCATATAGTTGAAAAAGTAAAATACTGCATACAGTTGAAAAAGTTAAGTACTGCATATAGTTGAAAAGGTTAAGAACTGCATATAGTTGAAAACGTTTAGTACTGCATATAGTTGAAAACGTTTAGTACTGCATATAATTGAACAAGCTAAGTACTGCATATAGTTGAAAACGTTTAGTACTGCATATAGTTGAAAAAGTTTAGTACTGCAAATAATTGAAAAGGTTAAGTACTGCATATTGTTGAAAACGTTCAGTACTGCATATAATTGAAAACGTTTAGTTTTGCATATAATTGAAAAAGTTAAGTACTGCATATAGTTGAAAAAAATAAGTGCTGCATATAGTTGAAAATGTTTAGTACTGCATATTGTTGAAAATGTTAAGTACTTGATATAGTTGAAAATGTTTAGTACTGCATATAGTCGATGACATCATTTTTTTCTAGTTCTAGATCGAAGTAAACGGATATAATCTGAGGAACGAACTCACCCCGATAGCTTCACCCCATTGCACGGCAAACTTATACAACAATTTAACTAGATATAAGGCGTTCTATGCAAACATGTTCATCTTCACAATCCCCGCAACTCACTGGACTTATCCAGATAAAGACGCTGCCCACGGTAGAGCAGCTCTGCCCGCAGCACCCTTGTGCCCCACGGTAGCCGGCCACCCGCCTAATGTGCCCACTACAGATATCAGAACTTTGGCTTGTGAAACCACAAGAACTGAATCACTGGCGACCCTCTACCCGCTAGAGCGCCATCTCCAGCTGCAAGACCTCCAGCCAGGATCACAGTAGGACAACCAGCTAAGTGCAGAGGACAAAAGTGACATATTCTCTAATTAAGTGCTTAGTATGATTATCCAATATTACTAACGAGATAGATGCAAATCCCTCACCCATTTTATTCTACCTTGTACATTTATGTACTTAATCTTACATTATTTGTATCTTTCTTCATTGTTTGTCTCGTTGCGTGTCTGCTTCCAATTTATCTCTGATAGACCAGTGTGTGGCAACTCAAAAATAATTATCCCCTAGACACCTAACGAGCCACTCATACACGTCATACTCGAGGTCCGTCACAAAACTTTTATTTTGTGTGGAGTAGGCCTGTCAGTTGATGGCCATTTATTTACACATTTATTTTACTCATGTAAATAAACTTAGTATATATGTTTACCTTCAAATTTTTAAAGTCTTGTTTTGCATACATTAGTTTAATTGTATATCTAGAGGTTATACTAAATAACCTAGGAACTACAAGTAGGGGCCAATGTACCCTGGACGAACGTACCAGCACACCTTTAATACTGATCTGTTAATCTAAAATACCTAAATCTAGCTATAAGTCTAATAGGTCAATTAATGGATCACAATTTTGTTATGTTGAATGGGGTGCTCTTTTAGAATCCATCCCCATTATTATATAAGCTGGGGTACTATTACAAGCAACCTCGTCAATCTGTAACAACAATACCCTAGATGTGTAGAGTTCCTATCTTATACATCACGGACGTTCGAACAAAGAGGAAGATAAACACGTCATGCGCGTATATGTGTGTTCGTCTAGGAGTGCATATTAATTAGAGACTTAAAACTTCAGAAAAACCCGGTTCGATGCTCTAGTGGCACTAAGCAAGAAGGAGAACTTGGACGACTTTTTCCTAGTATATAGAGTAAAAAAAGTGTCTTTATTT